AAATCTATGAAATCTATGAAATCTATGAGTAGCAGTGGTTGGGGAAAGGACTGGCTGTGTTTGGTAGCACTGCTATCTCAGGTTGGTTTGGTTGATTTGCTTGCATGTACTTATACATGTGCAATTTTATTATTTTTTTTAGCTGAATCAGGGCAGAAGAGAGACTGAGTTTTACTCAAGGTAGCGCAAGTTTATCTGTAGAAGTGAGCAGTGCTTGACAAGCACGTTTATGAAAATATTTGTTCATGTACCTTTGGCCACTATCAAGTGAGGTTAAAAGATTGGTGGTAATTCAAAGCTAAAGTAGAAATAGCTGAGCCCTTTACAAGGAAGAGACAAACTTTTGATATAAATCATAAGGAATCTAAATCAGAATCTGTAAATCAGAAAGAGTCTTCTGATAAATAGGTGAGGAATGTGCTTACTGAATGTGTGTTCTTGTTGCTGACTTCGTTTTGTGACTTCACTGGATGTCTTTGAGGCATGGACCCTTGCTTATGTCATCATCTTCTTGTCTTGACTTTGAGGAGTGGGTGAGGGAGGTGCTAGAATGATGAGATACTCTAATCCTCTTCCCTTGGCCACTGACATGTTTAAGAAGTGGTTTTGAAATGAAAGTGTCCTCACTTCTAAAGTCTAGTTAGTAACATGAATCCAGCTAAACTCTTGAGAAGTGATAAATCCAAAAACACCGGAAGATTGACTTCTCATTGTTAGAAAAAAACACTTTAAATGAGTTTTGAATGCTTTGGATTAGTTCCTTCAGGTTAAAAGGCTCTGGTATCAGTGCTGGTGCAAAGTGGAAGATGCAGTAGATACAGGTAGTTCTTTGCAGCGTAGCTGGTCTTGTAGGGTCAGAGTTGAATATTATCAAGAACACTTTTTGCAATGGGTGAATTAATTTAAGGCAAAATGCAAGGGAAAGAACTGAATGTGACAAATGCATGTATTTGTGCCCAAGTAAGTTAAGAAATGTGTGCTATTAGTCTTGTTAATCATTTACTTGAAAACCACTAAACATAGCAAGAAGTTGATTTTGGATTGTGGGGTTTTTGTATGTTTGGGGTTTTTTTATGTGAACATATGTATATCAGATTTTCACCTTTCTACTTGCCTTTCTCCCTCCTTATTCAAGGACGACACTCCACCAATTTCTTGGAATACAAGATGTAAAATTGTTCAAGGTACAGCAAATGGTATCAACTTTTTGCATGAAAATAATCATATTCACAGAGATATTAAAAGGTAAAAGCTGCTGACTGTCACTGGCTGCATTTTCCCTTTTCATTTTTTTTAATTTCTTTTTCCTTTTTCTTCTTCCCTCTGTTAAAGTAATTTTAGAGGGAACAAACTGCAAGAAGCATTACTTCAGTCAAGGGCACAATCTTTTCTGCAAGTGCCATCCATCACAGTAATCTTATCTGTACCACAAGGACATGACCAGTACAGACTTCTAAAGATAATTATGAGGCTATTGTAATCTGTTACTATCAGATAGTGATTTGAGTGCTGCGAGGACACCCAGAAGTTCTGTTCTTTCACAACTGCTGCTAATGAAAGAGCTGCTGTTAGAGAACATAATGACTTATTAATGGGGAATTTTTCAGATTAAAACCCACCTTTTTTTTTTTTTCCTTTTTCCTATAACGTTTCTTCACAGTGTCTCATTTGATTTACTGCTGTTTGTTATGAAGACAGTAAAATTACTTCAGTCAGGTTTACGAAGTTCAGAGTTCTTCAAGGATAACGGATGTTCACTTGTTTGTTATAATCAGAACTCAGAAAAGGTGGAAGTTTTGTTGTAGGGTTTGGTGGGTTTTTTTCTTGTGGTTTTTGTTTGTTTCTTTTTTCCCCTCCTCCTTGCTACAGTTTGTTGTGTTGTTTTTTTCAAATACCAAAGCAGTCCAAATCTTTGAAGAAAAGTCCCAGATGCCTTACTCCTCCTGTGGGTTAAGAAGGAGCAACTGTCTGACTGGGTGTCATGGATGAATGTTTCAATAACTTTCTGCCTTCTGGCAACTCTGCTGAATGTAGGCTGCTTTGGTTTTGTGACCTTCCAGCTTGTGAGGAACAAGTTTTGCTTCAGCTGCCTCATACAATGTGCTTGCTGCTTTGACAATTTATGTTTCTTCTTTCTTCCCTGCTTAAGCCTCAGGACAAGTGTAATGACTGGAAGGGACGCATTCTTTACCTTACGCTACTCTGCCCTTCTAACTGCTGTGAGTTGATCATATTACAGGATTGGGTTTTATTTTTGTTGTGTTTTTTCTTTTGTTTGGGTTGCATTTTGCAGCTTCTTGCACTTGCAGTGTGAATGGTTCAATACATTTGGTTAGTGTTATTAATAGTGCTGCCACTCCCAGGTAAAGCTTAGATGAAGAGACATCTAAGAAGGTTTACTTTAATCTTCATTTTCCTGTGACGTATGGAGACAATTCATCACCACGTAGGCACTAGAACAGCTTCTCTATAGGATAGAGGGGAAATGATTGAATGGATGTTCTCAGAGTTGTCCATAGGTTTTTTTTGGCTTGATTATGCCCAGGAAATAGTTCATTTATCTCTTGAAACTTGATAGTTGTGGTAAAACTTGCCTCTATTGTGATCTTTGTGGTGTATCAAAAAAATGACCACTCTTTGGGCTTGACTCAAGTTGATAAGAAGCTCAGATTTATGGAGTCGTGATCCTATTCTTCCTTCTTTTAGAAGTTGGGCTTTAAATACGGAACTGATTGGTGGATGGCATCTTGACTAGTGTTTGGCCTTTTGCAGTGGTCGTACATTTAACAGTATTTGCAGTAGTTCTCATACTAAGTGATCTGTTGTAACTTACATTTGTTTTAATTTTGTAGAGAGGTTTGGTGAACAAGAAGGGGAAGTGTCTACTAAGTGTCACATGTTGGGTCTGGCTATGTGTTTTTTTTTTATGGTTCCATTATGGGAGTCAGAAGATGAGGAGGATTACAGAAATGTTAAATCGAGTGATTTTAATTAAAATAGTTTCAAGTGCTACAAGTCTAAAAAACAGCAGAACATTTATGCTGCAATTCATCCCACTGAGTATTTTATGAAAGTGTTAAGGTCTTTTAGACAAGCTTCATTCTTCAGAGTTTTTTTAAGGGAAGTAAAAGCTGGAGATCAAGTGGAAACATAACACATATATTATTCCAGCATTAATAAGTTTTCTGTTTCTTTTCTAGGAGAATAATAAGAATATTAGTATTCATTTGGCATGTGAATTTGTAATGGTTAACATAGTATTAGATAATAGGTATAAAAACCTGCTGCTGTTAGTTCTGAGTAGAGATTTAGACAGTTAACAATTGTACTGTGATCCAGTATCAGTTGATCAGAGCTCTGTTATCCTTCTTGAAGAAAGAGTATTCAGATCCAAAACATGGTTGTAACATAATTTGTCTCTTATAAGAATTTTTTTTATTTGAGGGTAGGGGAGTGTTTGTTTTTTTCCCTTGGATTTTTGCCTTTTTTTTTTCTTTTTTTTAATGCATGCATGCATGCACAAGAAAAAGCATGGATGGATCTTGGCAGTCCGTTCTTGATTTATTTGGACCAATTAATTTTGAAATTGAGCAATTTCCAACAAAATTAACTTATACATTTTTTGTTATGTGAATAATAAATAAATATCTTAGAATTTAATAAACAGTCAAAATAGCAGTTTGTCTTTACTTACTAAAGAGTTATTAGTCTGTTATAAAACCTAATTACTGTACTGGTTTGAAAAATTATCTGTTTTTTTTTTTTATTCTTTCCTCTGCCCCAGTGCAAATATCTTATTAACTGATACATATATGCCCAAAATTTCTGACTTCGGACTTGCAAGAGCATCTGTAACATTCACACAAACAATCATGACTGAAAGAATTGTTGGAACAGCAGCCTATATGGCACCTGAAGCTCTACGAGGAGAGATAACACCTAAATCTGATATCTTCAGTTTTGGAGTAGTAAGTAGAATGTGGGAAGCAATATATGACTTTTTTCATTGATGATAAAAGCATACAAAATCAAAAATATCTGAAATAAAATAATCTACTCTGATCTATCATTTTTCCCTTTCTCAATAGATGTCCTCTTAAGATAGTGTTTCTAAACTTTGATTGGTTTAAAATGATTTGAATATGTGGATTAAAACATTGAATTTGCTAATGATTACAATAATTTTGTTAAAGTGTAAATTTGCATGTGAAAGACCAGAGTAAAATAACATTCCAAGTTCTAGCTAAAGGCAGTTTGAAGTAATGTGGAACATTGCATAGCATTGCACAAAAATGAACTCGGGCTGGAAAAAAAAAATCTAAAGATGTTCCAAAATTAAGTCTGTGTTACTGGATTTAAGCCCCAAAAAGTATGCTGTCCATGTGGGATTTGCCTTAAAGCTGAGTACAAAAAAAGACATGAGCTTAATATCTGGGAGAATAATGAATCCATTCTGAATAACTCCAACACCCTATTTGCTACTGACCTCTTCCTTCATGGCATTTAGCTTCATGGAGAGGTAAGGCCAGATCCTGTGTCTGAATGAAATCCTTCCATTTTGCTTTGAAGCAATACGATGCAGGGTGAAAAAAACCTTGCGTTGAAATTCATAAACCATACTGCTAATAACAGTTAATGAAAATAAAGGTAGGAACACCAACAACAATGTACTGTGTAGAGAGCTATCTTTGGACAAACACAGATCCTGTGAGTGTTTGTTTGAAAGACTGGGGGTCATGCTCCTTTTTGCAAATGGTATGTATTCTAGGGATTATTCTATGCTTCATTTTCTCTCCTTTTTTTTTTTTTTTTTTTTTTCTCCTAGGTCTTACTAGAAATAATAACGGGTCTTCCTCCAGTAGATGAAAACCGGGAGCCACAGTTACTGGTGTGTTCCTTCTGCTTTCTTCTCCCCTTCCCCTGCTCCACGATCACTTTATATAAAATTGTAGTCAGTTAACAGGTTCTGAGACAAATCAAATTAGTCATCAAAATACATAGTTATGAAAACAGCTCATCTGTCAATGTTCGTCTTAGAGGTGAGGCTGAAACTTTTTATCTCTTGGCTGGTAGAAGCTTGTTCAGTCCCCGAGGTCATCTCCTGCGGAGAAGGGATTTGGAGAAGTACTGAGACGACTCAATATGAGTTAGCTGCAGGAAGTCTCGTTTATTGCGCAGTTCTTATTGCTTATATAGACAGTATTTGCCAATAATCCTGAGACCACACCTTTTCTACACCATTATTGGATGATACATATGCTTGTCATATTTAACAGCTTATTTCAAACAGACACCCGCTTAGCGAAGCTCTGCTCTAAGCAAACACTACTCCCTTATCATACTGCATAGTTTTCTTATCCTTAACTTCAAGGGCATTCTGCCCTTGAGGCCTAACTTTAGAGCTCCAGTCCTTATTTACACAAGGTTTTCTTTGTGCAGTTTCTTCAAGGATCTGCACTCCGACAATCTCCTTCCTATCTGATACTGTAATTCTCTGTGTTTTGGTACTGCTGTTTATTGTAGTACCATTATGCTTTATCAGCGTACTCCTCGTACACCCAGATACCCTGGTAGTTCCTCATTCACCAGAACACTTTAAAGTATTCATCTCAGTTGTTTCTTTATGGTTCTTTATACGTCTTTATACTTCTTACCAGTCCTGTATCAATTTTCATCCTCTTCAGCTTTACTAATAGTTTGCAAATACCTTGTGTTTTTAACCTCGGGGAAGCTTGGAATGTAAGGAATTTTTTTTTTTTTTTCAGAGTGAGGGTTGGATTGAATTTTGTTTCAGTTTTTACTATTTAATGAGTAACTCAAGTCTACTAATTGGCAAACTACTGTCTCAGAGTTCACTCTCTTGAATTAAAAATCTTACAAGGCTGTTCTTAATTTAGCCTTTCATTTAGCTTAAAATTAAATTCTGAACTACTTAATCCAAGGCTTTCCTAGAATATGTTTTACATAAAGACTTACTTATTTATGGAGCATGAAGTAGCATTGAGGTTTGGATTGGTTTTGTTCCATGCTGTTTGATAGCAGATCACTTTAGGAATACCTGTGTACTATTAATAGAATATTTTCCTCTGAGCTGTATCTTCTGGAGTGGCATTATCCTGTTGAGCTCTGTAAAGACCTTGGAGAGCTCAGTCCCTGTCAAAGTGAATCTTGAGGTTTTGTGGGGTTTTCAGAGATAGTATCTAAAAAGGAATACAAAGTATGATTTTACTGGTACAGTTTATCTTTGTAACATACTTTTGAGAGCGTAAAGAGAATGGTCAGTGCAAGATAATGTGGCATCCTTAGCTTTGAAAATTTTGGGGTAGTTGAATGTTAGTCAGCAATTTCAGACTGACCCATAAAGGAAGGCAGAAGACCTGCCTCTACTCTCTGACTTTTTACTTCTTTCTTCATTTACCATGCTGGCTTGCCTGAGGTATTCCTCGAACAGTATTTGTGATTAAAGATAATGTGTTTCAAGTGTGTTGGAGGTGGAGAGTCTTGGACTAAAGCAGTCAGATTTAAAAGTTTATTTCAGGCAAGAAGTTTCCTTTAGAATAGATATAGCAGCCACCAAGGCTGGTGACCAAAGGCATTAGTTTACAGAAAGAGGCTTTATAAAGCTGACAAAAAAAAATTCACACTTGAGCTTGCATATTTGTGGGTTATTAAGTAAACATAAATAATTTATGTTGATCATGCTGCTTTTCTTAAAAAAGAGACAATGCTAAGAAACTGAGCCTTGAACTGGGAGAAAGTTAAATCTGTATGATGCAGTTTAAAGAAAATTGCTTTACAATTTTGTGTTAACTCAATTAGAAGATATTTATAATAAAAATGTATAGTCTGTTTATAGTCTTATAGGCTGTTTCTGCAAATATTGATGAATAATTATGTTGCTGAATCATCATCATCATTCTTTGTCTAGAAAAGTGGTTGAGAATAGAAATCAAGTTTTCAAAGTGTTAATGTGGAATACATAATGTTCAGATGCATACAATGTTATCTGCTCATTGGTTCAAACTCTCTTGTAGTTAAGTATCAGAGATGATATTGAGGATGAGGAAGCAACTATTGAGGATTATGTTGATGAAAAGATGTGCGACTGGGATGCACCTTCAGTTCATAAAATGTATTCAATTGCTGATCAGTGTCTGAATGAGAAAAAAAACAGAAGGCCAGACATTAAGATGGTATGTAGTCTTTCATATAAAAGGCTTATTCTGAATATGTGTGTATGGTTATAGAATCAGCCATTTATCTTTGTATCTGTTCTCTTGCAGGTTCAACAGCATCTAGAAGAGATAAAAACTTGATACATATTTCTTCTGATACATAAATGGTTTTGAAATGGAGTAGACACCAGTAGCAAATATTTTATTAGTATTTAGTTTGACATTATCAGCTTTTCTGCTTTCCAGAACTTCCTGGTCTGCATAGAAGTCAGCATTGTGCAGACTTTTCACATATCCTTAGCCACTGGGCCCTCAACATGAGAAAACTCTTTTTTGCATTAACAAATTGCAGAGCTGGTACATCTTCTCCACAGCTTTTAAAATGCGTTTCCATATTAGAATCTATTTGATTCTTTTGATTTCCAATTATCAAGTAATTCTGCTGCAAAGGCATATGACAGTAACAGGGTAGAATGCTTTTTCTGCAAATTGCTTTCTGGATCAGGTGTACTAAACCTTTTTCTATTGAAGACAACACTTAATGGCACTTAGTTGTCTTTTGAGGAAAAGACAGTAGCGGTACCCGTTTAAAACAAGCTTCATTTAGCGTTTTAACTTGAGAATTCATATTAATGTGAATGGACTGGTAGTGTTTGTGAATGTGACTATTTTTTTGAAAAGTCTTCTCAGGATTGGTTTTAGTTAAATAAATGCTGCAAGACATATTCTAGGTTATTTTTTGGTTTCAAGGATTCACGAGCAAAATAATTACCTTGCAGTGCAAATGCAAAAATACATATGGCTTTCTTCCAGTGAGCGCTGTATGATGACAAACCATTTAATTTTTCTTCACAGGAAGACTCTTAGCTACTTTGAATATTTTACATTTTAGGAGAAGATTCCATATGGATTGTAAATGCAGATGGTATATTTTGTTAAAGGGGCCAGAAAAATCAAATAATGAAGCTTTTTTTTAAAAAAAAATACATGTATGTCTGCATACTAATAAATAAATATTAAAATACACTTTTAAAAAGGTGACATGGAAAGCTTTCGAAAATAGATACACTGACAGATCAAAGCAGACTAAAAATGGAATGAAAGTGATTATTAAGATCCCAGATACTTTGGACTAAGTAGGTATGAAAGTACTGCCATTGGAAATGAAAGAGGTTATTTTCATGTGAACCTTTTTTGCACCTCAGGAACTCTTTCTTGACAGCTTAGGAGTAGGAAAACAGTCTGGCTTACAGCTAAATTTGAAATCCCATGATTATCAAAGAAAAAGGAAACATTGAGAAATGATCTGACTGCATTCACAGATATATATATATCTCTATATATCTTTTTGTAGAAAGCATGTGATTTCTAACATTTGTATTGATATCATTAGATCTCTGGCTAGTAACTCATTCTGTATTGCCTTTTAAAACTGATAGTTTAATTTAGAAGAAGGCATCAACCTAAACAGCGTTTAGTTTTATTGAGCATAAATTGTAAAAAGCTGTTAACATAAATAAAAACTCTGCATCATCTTTGCAGACAATTATTATTTCTGCTATTAAAACTTTGAGCCTTGGAAACTATTGTCATTTTACGTTGCTTTCATTTCTGATAACATTATGCTAACCTCACTGCGTGGAATAAAGCTGAACCTGGGCTTGGGGAGAAAAAAGCTGTTATAAAGCTAAATCAGAATAAAGTCTGCTTAAGCCGTTCTTCAGTTTTAAACGTCTCCAGCTGTTACGTGAAGGTTTCTTATTAGATCACGTCTGCTTTTACTGTTCCCTGGAACTAGAATACATCTGTAGTGATGTCCTGACGTCTGTTTGCTGTGGTAACTCCCCAGTCAGCACTGTTCGCCTCTGGTGCGGGAGAACAATTTTGTTTATGTACCAGCTGCGATATTCTAAGCGCTGGGAGAATCTTAGTGACAAGCACGTTAGTTCCTGTTCTTCTGTCACAGTAGACCATGACTATTTGCTGTGCTGCTGTCAGCACCTAAGTTTTGGCAGTAGTTTTCCCTCACTTACTGAAAATGAAGCGTTAGCTACTATTTCATACAAGAACTCATTTAATATTATTCTAGTGAGGAGTGAAAATGGGAAGTGTTAGGTAAATCTAGATAACTTACGTGGGAACTTTTAACAAAAAAAATACACAGGGTGCAAGGTGAAGGAAATTCCCCTTTCCCTAACTTTGGGGTTTTTTTTTTGAGGTCTTCAAACAGTAAAGTCAGTACTGATGGGCAATGACTTCTTTGCCTCAGTCTTCACATAGAGTACTGCGTTCAGCTCTGAGTCCCCAGCACAAGAAGGACATGGAGCTGCTAGAGCGAGTCCAGAGGAGGGCCACAAAGATGATCCGAGGGCTGGAGCACCTCTGCTATGAAGACAGGCTGAGAGAGTTGGGGCTGTTCAGCCTGGAGAAGAGAAGGCTCCGGGGTGATCTTATTGCAGCCTTCCAGCACTTAAAGGAGGCCTACAGGAAAGCTGGAGAGGGGCTTTTTACAAGGGCGTGTAGTGATAGGACAAGGGGCAATGGATTTAATCTGAAAGAGGGCAGATTTCAATTAGATATAAGGAAGAAATTTTTTACAATGAGGGTGGTGATATACTGGAACATGTTGCCCAGAGGAGTTATGGATTCCCTATCCCTGGAGGTGTTCAAGGCCAGGTTGGATGAGGCTTTGAGCAACCTGATCTAGTTGGAAGATGTCCCTGCCCATTGCAGAGGGGTTGGACTAGATGACCTTTAAGAGTCCCTTCCAACCCAAACCATTCTATCATTAACATAGATCTTTGTTAAAGAGATTATGAAATGATTCAGACAACACTAAACTAAAGCATCAATCTTTATTTATAAAGTAAATTACAAAATAGATAAGGTAAACAGTTAATTTTAGCATCTGAAGGTGGTTTTCATTGAATATATAGACACCATAAATCAGAAGTTTCCTTTATCAATGTGCTTATCCAAGTAAGAGCAATTATTACCTTGATTAATTTTACAAACCTCTGATAGGAGTGTTTTAAAAGATCAAATTCTCCCTACCTTGCAACATAAACATTTCAAAAATAATTACCTGTCATGTTAATTAACTATTTAATAGCTCATGAGTTAACTGCAAGCAGCTGCATTGCTTTCAGGCTTTATGAAGGCCAACAACAATTTGAATGGACACTTCGAATTATTAAATGACCAGAGACAGTTTAGAAAGGAGTAACTTTCATTAATGCCCTCATTTTGTGCTGGCTCTGAACATTCATTAGCAGCAGTAGTGTTACTGGAGGCAACTACGCAGACGTAAACGTGACAGATCTCACAAAAAGATCAGATGCTTCTTATTGCTTTGTCAGGAGAACAGCTATGAGAGGCCTGGAGAGGCAGTCGGCAGTGCAAGACTTCATACAATTTTCTTCTGGGGAAAAGGTGAGGGGGGAAACACATTCAGAACATTACTTTCTGCTGGCTGGTCAGTGGTTTGTACATCCACATAGAATATTTTCACATAAGGTAACTTGAAATGTCTGGTTTGGGCCAAACTCTAAAGCAGCTCATTATAAACTCCCTCACAGAATCACTTAACCAGCTGTCACCATCCTCCAGATTAAGCTTTCTACCTCCTAGCATGGCCAGCAGGTCAAGGGAGTTGGTTCTGCTCCTCTACTCTGCCCTGCTCTTGTGAGACCCGACCTGCAGTACTGTGTTCAGCTCTGGGGTCCCCAACAGAAAAAGGACATGGACTTGTTGGAGTGGGTCCAGAGAAGGGCCACAAAAATGATCAGAGGGCTGAAGCACCTCTCTAATGAGGAAAAGGCTGATAGAGTCAGGGTTGTTCAGCCTGGAAAGGAGAAGGCTCGGGGAGACCTTATTGCAGCTTTTCAGTAGTTAAAGGGGGCTTATAAGAAAGATGGGGACAGACTTTTTAGTAGGGCTTGTACTGACAGGACAAGGGGTAATGATGTTAAACTAAAGGAGAGTAGATTCAGACTAGATAGAAGAAACATTTTTTTATGATGAGGGTAGTGAAACACTGGGACAGGTTGCCCAGAGAAGTGGTAGATGCCCTATCCCTGGAAACATTCAAGGTTAGGTTGGACGGGGCTCTGAGCAACCTGATATAGCTGCAGATGTCCCTGCTCACTGCAGGGAAGGCTGGACTAGACGACCTTCTGCGACATGGGCAGGAATTCAAACAAAAAACCCTCTAGCAGTAATTTTTAACTGCTACACTCAAAAGGTTTCCTTAAAAAAAAAACACAACAAAAACAAACCAAAAAACAGTGAATTAGGTGTGCCGAAAAGATTCAGAGTTCAACTAAAAATACATTTAATTACACTGCTCAATGAGCTGCATGCACATTAGCCATGTTTAAAAAACAATGACGCCTGCCTGACAGGTAGTACCTAGAAGAACCTCTTCAAAGACCAGCTCCTTGCCCTAGAGGGAGAAAGCAAGAGGCAGAAAAGCAACACAGTAGCTAGGGGCAAGCAGGAGATTAGCTGAGGATCAAGAGCTATTGAATTGGATTGATGTAGTGTATAAGATTACATGAAAAAAATCTGAAGTGTCAAATTTCTGCTGCATATAAAAATCCACAGTAAAACCAACAACTATTGCAATCTTCACATTATATAGTGCAACCTCAGATGTCAATAACAAGCTAGTATCTCTGAATAAAATAATATGTAAGATGAAGCAAACTTTATCAGGAACGAGTAGTGTCAAAGCGTTACTTCCCTACAAAACTAGGTTAAAACATGTTTTTCTTCAGGTAAACACGACTCGGCTACGTAACGTGTGCACCCAGCACCTATAATTATATGCAGTGAACCAAGATTTGCAACTTCATTGGAGCTCTAAAAAAAAAATAAAAATCAAAACCCACAAAGCTCACATACAAGACACTAAAAAGCAAGTCCCCACTGGGGAATATAATCTATCCACTAGTATTTGCCTCATTACAGAATTTTAAATATTTAAGGTCATCCAATACTTCCACATCTAATTCTTCTTTAATCCACTTATTAAAATAATCTATTTTTACTCTTCCTATTAAACACATTACTCACGGTTCAATCAAGTTTAGACTATTCTGGCTGATTTCAGTATTCTGGAGAAGGGAAGGGGAGGTAGG